CAAATGGAACCCAAAAACTCAAGCCTGCTAAACCTGGTGGTTTGATTTTGAGCCACACCCATCTTGGAGAAACAACCCGGGGGGGGGGGGGGGGAAAGGTGCTGCGAAAAAGAAAAAAACTAGCATGGATCTGGGCAAGCTATGTCCTTGCAAGTGGCGGGTTGACGACCTCATCCCACGATTGGAGAGTCCTTATTCTTGGCTGCGAATTGTGTACCACTGACTCCCGTCCTTTGGTCCTTGCCAAAAGCCCATCAAAGCAATGGTTTCCTGTGCTTCCAAGTGTTGAAAGGCAATCCTGTGGATTATGTAAGGACTTTTCTTGGTGATATTTTTGGGATGGATTAGGATTGGCCTCTTTCCAGACTGGTTTTTGCCGCTTCCCCAGCGGCCTAAACTGAGGTAGAGATCAGCCTCCGGGACTTGGTGGCAGCCGGAAGACGAGCCAGGCGTTCCGTGAAATTCGGAGTATGTTCGCGGGTTGAGACGGACAATGGGCGTGTCTCTTAGGTATCCCTTAATTGTAAACGCTTCGCGTTGCCCGCCTCGGCCCAGCCTAGTTTGAGGGAAGGGTCAGGAACACCGAAATCCAGTGTTGGGAAGGTCCGAATACCTGAAGCTGGCTCCAGACAAGTCAGACAAGCCGGCCTCGCCTGGTTGGGCTGGGCCACAGGCTAGTCTCAGACACATCAGATAAGCCTGCGCTGGGCCTGAAGCTAGTCTCGGGCAGCTTGGCTGGACCTTGCTTGCGCGGGTTGTTGGTTGAGCTGGGCCTGAAGCTAGTTTACGGCGGGCTGGGCAGCCGCACTGAGGGGGCTGGGCTATGGCTGGGCTGGGCCTGAGGCCAGTTTCAGACAGACAGGCCTGGCCAGCAGGCGGACTGGGCTGGGCTAGACGCTAGTTGAGCCCAGGCTGGTGAGGCCCAGTCTTGGCGCTAGATAGGCTGAGGCCTGCGAGTCTCAAACAGGGTGGGCTTGGGTGGGGTTGGCTTAGGCGGGTTGCTGGTTGGGCTGGGCCTGAAGCTAGTCTCAGCCACGAGGCTGCGAAGCCATGGGTGGGTTGCTGGCTGCTGGGCGCTGGAACTTCGGCTGGGCGGGCTGGGCTGAGCTGTGCTTGGGCGGGTCGCTGGATGGGCTGAGGCTGGGTAGCGAGTTGCTGGCTGGGCTGGGCCTGAGGCCAGTCGCAGACACGTAAGACACGCCAGCAGGCGGGCTGAGGGACTGGGCCTGAGGCTCGTCTCAGGCTGGCATACCTTGAGACCAGTCTCAGACTGCGCCGAAGGGGCCTGGTCAGCCTGGGCTGCTTAGCAGCTGGCATAGCTTGAGACCAGTCTCAGACACGTGAGACTGGCCACACGTCAGACAGGCCTGGCCACCAGGAGGTCATGCTTTTCAGAACAAAAAAGCAATTGTTTAGTGATTTGCGCGAAGATCTCTTTGGAAAAGAGATCTGAGCGCCCTTGGCCCCTTTGGGGCCGAGGCGAATTGTTTAGGTGGTTTTCAAGGGAGCCTCCGGGAAACCACCCATGCTGGATGGTTCCCCTATTTAAGGCAAGCACAAATGCTATGAAATGGTCACAGACAAAAAGGAGTGCTAAGCATGGAGCCACCAATCACAGGTGGTAAGTCATGCTGTCACGGCAGGGTAGTCCTCAAAGATCATGCACCTTTCTGATAGGAAGGTGAGGGCGCATTTAGACAGGGCCGTTGCTTGTTGCATTGCAGAGGCAGATTTTCCGTTTCAGTTTGCAGCAATAGTGTTCCACTGGAGCCTGAAGCGGCAAAACCAATCAATGCAGTTGAGCTTCAGTTCCTCAAGAAGTCAAGCACAGGACACGCTGATCCCTGCATTTGCTTGTTCCATGTTCAGTCATCCCCTGCTTAGCTTGGCTTGCCCCAGAAACAACCAATCCAGACCTGCACACCAGCTTCAACACTCGCGAGAAAAGCAGCTATGCGCGCCAAAGAAGCTATGCTCCTTTTGAAGCGGCTTAGGTGTTGTCATGTTATCATTCTTTGTGTGCATGTTCTGTGTACTGGAACCTGTGTTCATGTTGGGCAATAGATTTGGCATGCACCCACGAGTACCGGAGGATTGTGGATCTGACAAGCTTTGACCTTGACCTGAGATGACTATACGCAAATGAAAGGGGCTCCAGAGCTGCCGGCTGCTGCTTTGGCAACTTAGCACTGAGCATAGGAGAAGTGTTGTTGAACGACCATGGGATTTCAGATCAAGTACAACAACACATTGTGCTGGTCAAAACGGGTTACACCCATGCACACTGTGCATGCCAACGCGTGAAGGCGTACCCACACGCGCACGCCCACAAACCCACCCTGCCCACCTGGCAACCCACCCACCCACCCACCCACCCACCCGCACGCACGCACACACACACACACAAAAGCGCGCAAGCAGACCACACGCAAACACAGAAACGTGCAAGCACATAAGCAAGCAGGCAAGCCAGCACGCCCGCACGGCCACTGCCACCACCACGGCCACCACCACGGCCACCACCACGGCCACTGCCACGGCCACGCCCACGCCCGCACGTATGCGCGGGCAAGAGCGCACACGAGCGCACATGCACACACACACACACACCCACACCCACACCCACACACCCACACACCCACACACCCACACACCCACACACCCACACACACACACCCACACACCCACACACCCACACACCCACACACCCACACACCCACACACCCACACACCCACACACCCACACACCCACACACCACACACCACACACCACACACCACACCCACCACACACCACACACCACACACACCCACACCACCACACACCACACACCCACACCCACCGGGCGCGCGCGCGGGCGGGCAGGCAGGCGCGCGCGCTTTCGCGACGCGCCCGCGCCCGCGCCCCGCGCCCGCGCCCGCCCGCCCGCTCCCGCCCCCGCCCCCGCCCCCGCCCCCGCCCCCGCCCCCGCACGCACGCAGGCAGGCACGCAGGCACGCACGCAGGCACGCACGCGCGCAAGCACGCGCGCACGCACGCAAGCACGCACGCACTTACTTACGCACGCCAGCACGCCAGCATGCAAGCACGCAAGCACACGCGCGAGCGCACGCAAGCAAACAGTCATTTGTTTTTGAAGCAAAAAACACACAACTCAAACAAATGCAAAGGTAACAATCAATCGATCAGCAAGCAAGCACGCAATCAAACAAAAAAACGGAAACGTTCGGTCAATCCAGCCAAACATCCAATCAAAGAAACAAAGAAAAACAGAAAGGAGAAATTAAAGGAATTAATAATGAAAGAAATAAAGCGATCAAGCAAGCGAGCGTAACAAGCAACAAACACACATACAAACAAACAAACTAAACAAAACAAACATGCAAACAAATAAGCGAGCGAGCAAGCAAGCAATCAGTCAAGCAAGCAAGCAAGTAAGCCAGCAAACACACAAGCACAATGCACAAACCTAATGCACAATCCTAATCACACAAGCGCGGACACATACAAAACACACACACACACCCAAGCGCAGCGACACGCACACACACACACACAAATGCCAAGCCCAGACAAACACAAAACACAGCACGCGCACACACAGAAACACGCAAACACGCGCGCAACCATGCAAAGACACACGGGCAGACAAATTGTTCAATAGCTGACAGGCTCACGGGGTTCCAACAACGTCGCTTTCACAGCAGCAGAGACGAGAGACCTAAATGTGCTTCTTGCCGCAAAGGGTCCCACTGTCGCCCTCCACTATTGGACAGCTCCTTTGAGCGCATGGATCCCCGCCCCAAAACAGAACAAGCCACAAACTGGGGGTCATCCTTTGCTTAGCTTGGCTTGCCCCACAAACATACCAATCATTGCACCTGAGGTACCAAATCTGCGGCATTGGACCCGTAAAGCCTGCGGGAATGCAGCGCTGAGTTCATATCCCCCGCAGGCAAGCGCCAAGAAGGAGTTCTGTGCGGCAGCCCAATCCGCTGATCGGTTTGGTCAAGACCGGTCTTGGGCAGTTGTCTTGCTTGAAAAGCCGTCAATCATCGCCCAAGCAGGCGTTTGAGAATCTGAAGGGCTGCCTGGAAGACGTCAATGACTGCCTGCCAAGGCAAGTTGAGAATCTCGACCCTTTTTGCAACATCTAACGTGAACGAGAAATTCTAAGGCTGATCCTTATCCACACTGTGGATGGACGAAATCCTGCACCACTTTGAAACCATGAGAAGCCATTGTTTGTTGGTATTTGCAGGGGAATCATCATTCCAGGGTTCCTTAGGTGGTGCGAAATGGATTTCGTCCATCCACAGTAGCTTGAACAACTACACTCAGCAAGCAATCGCTTGCGTCAGCCTGGCGCTTTTGTGGCCTTCACCTAGGCCCCGGGTGTGCTGCAGGCTGGCCAGGGACACAGGGCAGATGAGTTGCGTGGCATGTCTGGGTTTGCTGCCTTGGTGATGTGAGAAGACGAATTGAGTCACAATCAAAACCCCGGTAAGTGAAGGTTAGCAAGGGACAATCCCAACCATAAATAGTTGCGGTCTCCTTCTCAATTCTTGAAACATGGTTCTGGGTCGACCATTTGAATACCGGGTTTTGATTATGACTCGATTGAGGAATGAAGTTGCAACGATCTTGCCAGTTGAGTTGGCAAACATTATTTTGCTGGTCGATGTCTTCATATTGCTCGTCAAGTCTTATCAAGTATGAAGTCTTTTCGGCCAGTCAATTCAGCGGGTCACCGATGGAAGAAGATAATGTACTGTCACAGTGTCCCATGTTGACCTCGCTGGAGTTTTGAGACAGGCAACCAGAAGCAAAGGCACAGGTGCCCCCTTTCCAGACAGGTGGCACATGAGGACCGAGGTATAGCAAATGCACTCGATCGCTTTGTTGTGTTGCTTCCCTGGACGCAGGGACGGATGCAACACTCACTGTTCAATCTGGAAAGTACTCAACACTGGCAATGGTTTTCGCTTCAATGCTATGCTACTTCTGGAAGCAAAGGAGGCCAACTTGAGCAATTTTAAAAGGCAACCTGAAGGTGGTTTTCAGGATCAAAGCCTAGTGGCAATCAGTTCATTGTGTGTTGAACATATTTTGAGCACCTTGCTTTGCGTCATGTATGCCTCTCAACTCTTGTTTCCCCCCAAGGTCGAACAGGTCCCGGAAAACCCCACTTCTGGGCCCCTGCTCGTTGTTTGGCTGGACTGATGTCACAAATTCCAGGGCTTCCGAGTGGGATGAACTCGGGTATTGGCGTGCACTACGGAGGTGAAATCTGTGGTTGTTGGACGCGAGTAGAAAGGTTTTTGTTTGCGGTTTTGGCAACCCTTGGGACGAACGGCATCAGTGGCATGCCTTGGAAACAGTATTGGGCAGCTCCAGACATTCCCAATCGTCACATTGATGTTTGCTTCCAGAAAAAACAGCAAGCAGAAATGGGTAAGTCTTAAATTTAGGGAGCCGTCCAGCAAAAGGCTCCCTATTTTGAGACATTCCACTCCAAAATGTTCGACGGCAAGAAAGCGCGAATCATATATGGCTGTGTCTCAATAACACGTACCAAAATGGCACCTTGGTAAATCGATCTTGAAAAAGTAGAAACTTTGCAACCACACGGCTCTTTAATTTTGAGCCACACCCATATTTGGGACCTAGAAGCGACACATCCCTATTCACGACATACTATCCCAAACCCCAAAGGCGCATTTTTCTGTTTGAGACCACAGAAATGGACGTGCCGGTTCTTCAGGGTGCATGTGTGTTTGATGTTTGCGAGGAACGCCAAAGGGTAAAAAAAAACCATCGGTTCCAATCCCAGCATCTCATTTCGACTGTTCAACATGGGGACATAGGTGTCCTTTTTAAGTTTGTTTAGACCTAGATGGGGTCCACAGGTTTAGATGGGGTGTATGCCCCATGTACCGGGGAAACCCATCTGGTTTGGTTCAAAAGGACACCTCTGCATAGGGACGCCGATGAACCTCTTCCCAGTGCCGGCAACGGAGTCCAGGCGCCAGCGCCGGCAACGGAGTCCAGGCGCAACCAAACCGAGAGGATGCAACAGAAGCCTAGGGAAGTGGGTGGTTTGCTTAGACGGACAGTTATGAGCGTACATATATTTGTTTTATTATATATATATGTATATATATATATACATATTATATATATATATTGATTTATTGCTTGGTGCATTCACTTATTTCTATTCATACATACCTGTCAGTTCATGAGCAGGTGTGACAGCCCATCCATTGTGAACCCTGAAACGCTCTCAAGTTACCTTCCGTGGCGTGAAAAAGCTGCCAAAAAGCCTCAGGCGCCACCAGTTGCTTTGGCTTGTTTCGTGACGCCAGCTGAGCTGGTATGCAAGCCAAGTTTGGCCAAACTACAGTTGTTGTTGGCATAGATCACAAAAACTACAGCAGGGCACGGGCAAAAGAAGGGTTCTGCATCCTGTTCAGGCCTGCCGAAGAACCAGCATAAGGACTCCTCTTCCCCCTGGAAGGTTCCCAAAACCCTTGTAAGAGTACGTACTCCTTCTAAGAAGGTTCTCAGAACCCTTTTCCGTGAGATCTGATGGCCAACTCAAGGGAGACTACAGTCCGAGCGAGTGCCGGAAGGGACACTCGTTTTGGGCTCTTGTCACATTGTCACAGTAGTAAGGGGCAAAGACGGCAAAGACACAGCAGGTAAAACTTCACAACGGGCAAGTTGCAATACAAACTTCATGAGCAGCCGGAATGGGTTCGACTCTTGAAAGAGGGGTCTCTGTCTTTTCAAGCCTCTTTGGCATTGAAGCGAGGCATTGCTCCAGCCTGCATTGTGCCCTGTAACAGCGTGAGCCAACTGCTGTTGCAGATAACTTGGGATTGTGTCGTGAGGAGTTGCTGGGCCTGCAAGGTTAACCCACTCAAAAAATTCGAGTTGTCCATTTTGCAGACGCTCTTAGGAGTTTCCCACAGATGGTTTTGCGGCCCATTTAGGTGAGTCTCCCTTGGTAGAGGTGATGTTTCAAGGGAAAATCCATGTGGAACCCTGTTTCTCTCGGATTCCACGTGGATACCAACGGAAGATCCATAACTTGGCAGGCCAAGCAGGGCTGTCAGCCGTGCGCTCAGAAATGAGTTGTCGCGCGTTCTGCTATCCATGTGTTTGTGCGTGTTTTTCAGGGAACCCCTTTTCAGGGCGTGTTTTTAAGGGAGCCCAACTGGGCACCCTGTTTTTTTTTTTTTTTTAAATGGGGGGGGGGGGGGGCGGGGTTCCCCATTCTGACACCAACCTGTTTGTTCTGCTTGCACGAAAAGTGGCGTGTTATAGCTATCTCCAGGGACCAACAGCCCCTTAACCCTGACACAAGCAGCGACAAATCATGAATGTGTCATCAACTCGTCAACTGTTGACCACTATGATGGGCGGGAGCTAGCACGCTCACACGACCTCATTAGATTACGTATGGGTGTGGATGTGTGTGTGGGTGTTGATTCC